GTTGTGGTCTCTGGCTCGAAGTCAGATTTTCTCTGGCAGCACGGGTTTTTTTTTTTAATTTTATTGGGCCTTGCTTACTCTGAGCATTTAGCCACCTACAACATTTTTATTTAGTTACATTCTGATTTTTTATATCATTTTCAATCTATTTATGTATCCTATTCTAAATTCTTCTCAATATTCTTATTTTGTTCAATTCTCGCTTTTTTTCAATTTTTTAATTCTATTTGACTTTCAACTTCATTCAATTTTATTCTTCCTCTTTCAAGTTCCAATATTCCTCTTCTTACTTCTAATTCAATTCAACTCTTCGAATTTTGTTATTCATATTTTTCTGAATTTTTTATTCAAATTCTATTTAACAAATACAATTTTTATTTGATTTCAAATTAACTACACATATTATTTTTTAACAAATTCTATGTCAATGACGGGATTTGATCCGAAGACCCCTGTCGTGTGAATCGAACAAGCTACCAAAAGGCCATGCTCGCCACAAGGCAGCACTGATTGGAATGCTATATCAAATATTTTTTTAGAGTTCTTTTTCTAATTCAGTATAGTAATACTGAAGGATTTTAGATTTAATTATAGAGCAGTTGTGGCCGAGTGGTTAAAGCGTCTGACTCGATATCAGATTCCCTCTGGGAGCGTAGGTTCGAGTCCTACCGGTTGCGGTTGGATATATTTGAACAAACTATATTTTTCAGTGATTTTTCAATGCTGTCATGGTTCAGTGGTTGTGGTCTCTGGTTTGAAGTCAGATTTCCTCTAGCAGCACGGGTTTGAATGTTATAACAAATATTTTAGATTTTTCTAATGCAGTCATGGTTCTGTGGTAGTTGTCTCTGACTCGAAATCAGATTCCCTCTGGGAGCGTAGGTTCGAATCCTACCGACTGCGGTTGGTTATATTTGAACGAATTACATATGTGAGTGATTTTTCTAATGCAGTCATGGTTCTGTGGTAGTTGTCTCTGACTCGAAATCAGATTCCCTCTGGGAGCGTAGGTTCGAGTCCTGGCGACTGCGTTTGGTTGCTTTTTAACAAACTATATTTTATAAGTGATTTGCCTAATGCAGTGGAGCAATACTAACGGCATTCAAACTTATTACCTAGCGAAGTCATGGTTGAGTGCTTGTGGTCTCTGACTCAAAGTCAAATTTTTCGTGGGATCGCGGTTTCGAATGTTATATCAAATTATATTTTTTAGTTACGTTTCTAATGCGTGCAGTAATACCAAAGGTTTTTAGAGTTAATTGTAGAGCAGTCGTGGCCGAGTGGTTAAGGCGTCTGACTAGAAATCAGATTCCCTCTGATCCCTTCGGTTATATTTGAACAAATTACATATGTAAAAGATTTTTCTAATGCAGTGGAGCAATACTAACGGCATTCAAACTTATTTCGTAAAAGAGTCGTGATTGAGATGTTGTGGTCTCTGATTCGAAGGTAGATTTTCTCGTAAAAATTATATTTTTTTAGTTACTTTTCTAAAGCAGTGCTGTAATACAAAAAGTTTTTAGAGGCTTTTGCAGAGCAGTCGTGGCCGATAGGTTACGGCGTCTGACTCAAAATCAGATTCCCTCTGGGAGCGTAGGTTCGAATCCCGCCGACTGCGCTCGGTTGAATTTTTATACAAACTATGTTTTTAAGTGGTCTCTGCTTCAAAGTCAGATTTCCTCTGGGAGCACGGGTACAAATGTTATATCAATTAATTACGAATGTTATATCAAACTATATTTTTAAGTGATTTTCCTAATGCATTCATGGTTCTGTGGTTGTGGTCTCTGGCTCTAAGTCAGATTTTCTCTGGTAGCACGGGTTGGAATGCAATATCAAATATTTTTTTAGAGTTCTTTTTCTAATCCAGTATAGTAATATTAAAGGTTTTTAGAATTAATTGTAGTGCAGTCGTGGCCGAGTGTTTAAGGCGTCTGATTAGAAATCAGATTCCCTCTGGGAGCGTGGGTTCGAATCCTACCGACTGCGGTTGGTTATATGAAAGTGATTTTTTTAATGCAGTAGAGAAATACTAACGGCATTCAAACTTATTTCGTAAACGAGTCATGATTGATTGGTTGTGGTCTGCGGTTGGATATATTTGAACAAACTATATTTTTCAGTGATTTTTCAATGCGGTCATGGTTCTGTGGTTGTGGTCTCTGGTTTGAAGTCAGATTTCCTCTAGCAGCACGGGTTTGAATGTTATAACAAATATTTTTTTTAGAGTTCTTTTTTTAATACAGTAGAGTAATACTAAAGGGGAACTTTATGTTTTCATAATAAAATCCGATTCGCTAATTTTATGTTTTCTCGATGTTTCAATCCATTCTGAAACCAAATTTGAAAAAAGTATGTGTGTGTGTGCATGTATGTGGACAGATTTTTTGCCATATATCGACGTTTTCTCAAAAACGACTAGACCGATTTCAAAAATTTAGAAGCCATTCGATGTATCTCGATGAGGAATAGCGTTTATCAAGATCAGCCAAGCCGTTTCTTTGTAAATAGCATAAAAGTGAAACATTTTCGCCCACGTTTTAGCCCGCAATTCTAAATCAATTTTGAAAATTCAAAAACCGTTCGAAAGATATTGGTTGGGAATCGGACCTGATTAGTTTTTGGTAAAAATCGGCCCGGCCGTTTTCTTGTATTAAAGTGTTGAGAAAAACATTTTCGACGATTTCTATGATTTTTTGACGGTAGATACCATAGTCTTATAGATCATACTAAAATATTACGGCCCTACGATAAGTCGTTTAATTTTATGAATTCTTCAAAGTTTGCAAAAATTAGTATCGTTTTTTTTGGCATTTATCAAAATTAGACTTTTAATCGACGTTTTTTCAAAAACTACTGAACTGATTCAGAAATTTAAAAGCCATTTGATGCACCTCGATGAGGATTTAATTTTAGGTGAAAATCTACCGAGCCGTTTTCTTGTAATTAATTGTTGAAAAAAAATAAGACGATTTTTAGGAAACTTTTTTTGGCGATATATATCAAGGTCTTATAGAACTTACTGAAATATTACGGCCTTACTACAAGTAGTTTAATTTTAAAAATTTATCGAAGTTTGAGAAAATGAGTAGATTTTTGGACGTTTGTTAAAATTAAAATTAGACGATTTACGGTATAACGATAGAGTGTTCGTTCGTTTTCAATTATGTTTAATAAATCCACTCGGAATACTTTTAATCGCCCATAAATTAATGTATATTTTATTGATTAGGTTGATTATTTACACATTTCGGGAAGTTCATGTAACTTGCCTCAAGGCAAAATACCAATACCTACTAGTTGTTTTTATTGTAATAAATAATAATAATTGAGATAACAAGATTTACATGCAACAAAAAAGAAAAATATATATTAAAGGTTCAAAAAACGTGTATTACAATTGAGGAATCATGATACTGCTGTACTCACTATTATTATATTGTCTAGGCTGCTGTACTCAGTATTATACTTGTTTATCTATGGCAGTACTTTAAAAAGAACGGTGAACTTGAGCACCATAGGGCGCACCATTCCTTATCTATGTTGAGCAATGTAGACTTCGGGTGCGTTCGACTTGGACGCTTACGCGCTGTGAGCGCTCACGCTTATAAGCACAAATTTTTAGCGTTCGACTTGGCCGATAAGCGCTTAGAATCGATAACTAAATTCCGTTCGTTTTGGATACTGTTAGCGTCAATAAGCATCAAAATGGCAGCAACTGGCGGTAACGGTAATTGTGTAAATTTTATTACTTTCTGGATCATTCAGCGGGATTATAAAGAATTTAACAATTAATAAATAAATGAAATTTGGTTTGCTTATGCTTAATTCATATAAATATTAATATTAAAATTTAAAATTATTTAAAATTAATTAAATTTTAAATTAATTAATATTAATATTAATGTTCAAAAATAATTGTAATGCACAGCTCGCCATTTTTGCGTACTTATTGAACTAAAGCCGGCTACAGACGTAACTGTATACTTGCGCAACCTGCGACTTGCACAAGTATTCTGTAGCGTCTGTGGGATGTTTTTTGCGCAACTTGACAGACTGGTGCAAGCGAGTAGACATGAGCACTTTTCGATTATTTTAATTGCGCAATCATTCAAGTCGGTAAGTTCATTCGTTGGCCGCGTGTGGCAGCACATGTCCCGTTCTTATTTTACTTTGTAGCGAATTCATAATACAAGTTTATGAAGTTATCGACAATTAAAAGTTATTAAATTGGCCTTCTGAACACTTTGAATTCTTTTCTGATGCTGTAAATATATAAATTAATGAAAAATATATATTTTTAGGTTATGTCTTGACGTTCCATAGTTGACATTTGTGATATGCTTGCGCAAGTATTTGAACATAAACTTAAACCGTCTGTGGGCGCTGTGAAAATACGCCTGGTTGCGCATTCATTCAGTTGCGCAAGTATACAGTTAGGTCTGTGGCCGGCTTAAGAATGAATGAAATTGGGATTAGATTATGCATTCCATGCATTCGTTTTGATAAACGGCCATGACACTTTCAAGTGCCTTACCTCCGTGGCGTGAGCACGTATGAGCGCAAAATATGTGCTACGAACATGCTACGATGATGCTACGAGCCATAGATAAAAAAAGGGTATAGATGTGCTACGAGCGTACTTATGTGACACTCACAGCGCCAAGTTGAACGATGAAAGCGCGCTCACGGCGCGCTCACAGCGCGTAAGCGTCCAAGTCGGACGCACCCTTCATGTAGACCCTCTCTTAAAAGAGCGCAACCATAGATAAAAGAAGAGCGCAACACTAACATAAAACAAAGCACATAGCATGCACGTGGATTTGTATATCAAAACTGTACTTGAATACATTTTTCCAAATTAAATCAAATTAAATTATTATTATCCAATAATCTTGGGAGTCAAGACGAGGATCATTTTCTTATTCGTTAAGTTTAAAATTAATCCCGCGTGGAGCGTACTGATCGCAACCAAAAATGTAAACACTGAAACGACTGAAACTCTGTTCTACGCATTATCTACGCCGCCAAGTAAATGTCAAATTGTGTTGTGATCGTACGTTAAATCTTAATTAATAGGTTATGTGCGCAAGAAATCGTTAGATTGATTCTTTCTGTTAATGGTTTTAGTTGATTCTCATTGTAAATCACGACAATTTTTGTTATTTTGTTTTCTTGCCGTATTTAATGCTTGTATTTAATAAACTACAACTATAGTAAGTTTATGTCAATTTATAAAACATTATTTTTTAAAACCCTGCTTATTTTTGATAAATTTATTAAGTTTTGTCTCAGATTCAATAAAAAATGTCCATCATAAACCGAATGAGTATTCAGGGTGTTCGGAGCTTTGGTACAGACCCTGGTGATGAACAGCTAGTCAAATTTGAAAGCCCTTTGACATTAATTTTGGGTGAAAATGGTTGTGGAAAAACCACTATCATTGAATGTATTAAGTATGCACTCACTGGAGAATTGCCTCCCGGTTCTGATAAAGGAGTCAATTTTGGTCATAATCCAAAAGTAAGTTTGAAACCATTTATTAAATTATACATATATAATATATATTGTATTGTATCGACATACATATCTGTTAAGAACAATGCTCATTTAGAAAAATATTATTATTATACACATATATATATATATATATATATATATATAAATATATATAACACATCACTCAACATTAGGATATTAAGTTCTGAATAATTCGTAGTTGAAATGCAGACACCAGTATTTACATAATCTCCAATATATGTTACTAAACTCAGTGGGAAAACTAACATCCACATCAACCTATAATCCTATGAACGTATAGAGTGATCTGTTATAAATATAAAGTTTTAAAAAAAAGTTACTGAAAAAATAGAATTAATTACCTGTATGATTGAATATACACTAACACTTGTTCACTAAAACAGATTTTACCAAAAAAAGTGAATTTATAAAAAAAAATTCAGACGAATAAACAAATTTTGTAATTCAAAATTTCTTTCATTTTTTCATTCATCTGAACTTCGTACAAAATTTGTTTATTTGTCTGAAAAGAAATTTATAAATTCACTTTTTTTTATCTTTTTAAGTGAAAAAGTGTTAGTGTAAATTCAATTATACAGGTAATTAATTCTGTTTTTTCAGTAACCTTTTTTTAAAACTTTCTAAAACTCTCTAATTTTTAACATTTCTAATATTTTGTTATATAATCCAATCATATATTTTTATCATTTTCATTTTGTTTATATTGTCATATTTTTGTACATTATTTTTTCAACGATCTTAATAATTAAAAAATCCATTATCTTCAACAGTAAATAAATAAAGAAAACGTCGACAGTAAATAAATAAAGAAACATTGTTTTAAAAAATTCTGTTTATTACTTTTTTTATTTTTTGTTCAAAACTCTACAAAATATTTACAAATCCAAGACTCTACCATCTAATATATATATATATATATATATATATATATAAATATGTATGTATGTATATATATATATATATGTATATAAATATGTATATAAATAACTAAGTTTATTATGATTTTAGATCAACAAATCGGCTATAACACAAAGTCAAGTTAAAATGAAATTGATTGATCCAATAACTAATAGAGTTTTAGTGATCACTAGAAGCTTTCAATTAACACAAGAAAAAAGTAAAATGACTTTTAAAAGTAAAGATGTTGCATTACATTGGGAAGACAAAAATGGACAGAAAGGTTCTATATCAGGTCGTTGTGTTGATGTAAATACAGAAATGATTGCAGCTATGGGTAAAGTAATATTTGGTTTTTATAACAAATAATATAAGTGAATGTTTTACATCCAGTTTTTACATGAACAATGTTTGTGAATTTAAAGTATATAGTTTCTTTTAAATAATTTCATATTTGGATTTTTAGTTCGCTCTTTTTAATTTGGGCTCTGTTTGAATTTTACTATAAATCAATGTGACTCCACATTAGTGAAGAAAAAAAAAATTGATTCACGAATGGAAAATAAGAGTCCTTGGTAGTGGATCTCAACACAATATAAAGCATCTATTAAATTCTATCTTACTGTCTTCAATAAAATGACATGTACAACACTCATAAATGAACCTAAAAAGTAATAAAAAGTACAATTTTATAAAAATTTATAAGTTGTAGCAAGCAGGCTTTCGATTTGTAGGCACATTTTGTTTCAATATGTTGGCTGTTGCCATAAATGGCTTATGCTTTGCGATATTATTTGTGATTTTTGAGACAGTTGTGTTATATCAGGATACTAAAGATAGAGGTTTAAATGGTTTAATAATTGTAAAACGGACATTATAACGCATGGTAGAAAATGATCCAGTAGATCTAAAATTAAACTCTACAAAATTGTTATGCATGTTGATAAACATTTATTTAGTACTAACATTATTTTGTCATTTTAACTTCAATGTATAAACTTAACAATAATCCACGCCACTAAATGGTTTGGGAATTAATACTCTCCTCATTAACAAATATGTTTAAAAAAAAATGTGTGAAGAAAAGTGCAATAGTTATCATTTTTTTTGGTTATTGTGGCCAAGAAAAATGATTGCATAAGTTTAATAAAACATTTCTGTCTATAAACGTGTCACAGCAAATTCATAATTGTCATTGACCATTCATTAGACTCTGTTTATATATTTATTTAATATGTGTATATATTATATATAAATTATATTTATATAAGTTATATAATATATATATATATATATTGCATAAATAATATATGTATTTTAGTAGCAATAGAACAGTTGATTTTAAATGTTTTAGGTGTATATAAGCCAATTTTAAATGTTTTAGGTGTTTCTAAGCCTATTTTAAATGATGTATTATTTTGTCACCAAGAAGATTCTTATTGGCCTTTGGATGAAGGAAAGAAATTAAAAGAGAAATTTGATGCTATTTTTGATGCAACGAAATATAATAAATGCATGGATATATTACTGAAAATAAGAAAAGCCAAAGAAGCAACCACTAAAAGTGCAGGTATTATTAATTTATTTTATTATTACATAGCAAACAGGACTTAAAAAATACGATTAGTAAAATAAAATTAAAATGATTGCATAATAAAAATCTAATTGAGGTAATTAGATATTAGTAAATTAATAATAAAATATAAAAAAATAAAAAAATTACAATGTATTGTAAGTCATTAAGTCAAGTTTGGAATGTAATATTGCATATTGCATGCTAATTAGTTACAAACTTATGTCTTTACAAAATTAATAAGTATTTTTACAATATCCGTATTTTGCTTTACAATTTTTTAGGTACTTTTATGTCAAAAGTATTTTAACTATTTTATAAGTGTTTTTAAATTACAGTCCTTTAGTCCAACACCCAACAGTCCGGAACGCCAGATAGTCCGGCATTTTTTCAAAAAGTTAGATTTTTCAAAAATATTTCTTTTATAGCAAATAAAAACGTCGAGGGCTATTTGAATGTTCTTAGGGCGGTTCGAATTCATTCGGAAGAACTGGCTATTGTTCGATAAACGTAGTGTCCATGGTAAATTCCGTTGCTTCAAGGTTCATGAACGATGTATGTTCTACAGATGTTTTTTTTTTAAAAAAATCAGTCTATTGAATTTGTTTTTTATAAAATTAAAAAATATCTTAAATATGTATGTCTTTACATATAAAACCAACGGTGTATGGCATAGTGCCTTAAGGCAAATTGCTGGACTTCCCGTACCGTATCTTTTATCGAAAGCAATCGTTTCGTCAACACAAGCAGAAAGTTTTTTGAATTATTCAAATCGGATGCTTAGTTTTCTCAAGAACTGCTATTTTTTTGCACGTTTCGCTTGGTATTTTCGAAACGGCTGGACCTGCATTTGCCAAAAACTATTCACCACTTCTCCCTGCCATTACGAATTTAATGTTTTTTGGATCATTCAAATCGGATGCTCCGTTCTCTTAAAAACCCGATTTCTATTTTCTGCACCCTTTGCTTCGTATCTCCGAAACGGCTGAAGCTGCCTTCGCCAAAAACTAATAAGCACATCTCCCTATCAATATGAATCGAATGTTTTTTGAACCGTTATAGTCGGTTGATCCGTGCGCCCGAAAACGTGGATCAAAAAATGTATCCATGCATACATACACACACACACACATCAATTTTTTCTGAGGTATTCTAAAATGTTCAGAAACCTTCAAAACGTGAAGAAACGCAAAAATTTTCAAATCCGATTTTTGGACGATTACAGTAACTTACCGGAAGTTAATAAAGTATGTTATTTGTATTTCCTACTGATTTTGTAGTTTAATTATTAACTTAATGTTTTTATAATTACCGCCCGATAGTTCCGAATTTTAAATAGTTCGAGCAGTGGTCGGTCCCGAGCGACCCGGACTAAAGGACTTCTACTATTAAGTATATTGGTTAACAAATTGATAGGTATTTTGTTTAGCCAATTTATAAGTATTTTAAAATATTATCATGATATTGATTTAGTATATTATTGAAACAATAACTTAGACTAATTATACCAATTATACCATTTGTAATGGCATTAGCAAACATTGTGTTTAGATTTTATTTTTTTACTGATTTTTTTTATTATAAAATATCAAGTATTTTATCATTTTATAATGTTTTTAAAAGCACAAACTTTTGATAAAATTTGGAAACATACTTCACTACAATTATTTTTTAAACAAATAGCCCTTTAAAGTCGATCAATATTGAAAATTCTAAATTCATAGTTTAACAAATAGTTTTATTTCAAGAAAAGTTGGCGCAATTACTAAGGACTAAGGATCGAAAGCTTAAATAATCGAAATCAATTAAAGTTAACTACAATAAACGAAAAATGGTCACAGATTTACTGAAGCCTTAGATTGTACTTAAAAGCTCATAATTTTCAAGCTACATGGAATATTTGTTCTTTTCTATTTTTTTAATGATAGCTATGATCTACATATTTATTATACGAATATATATATATATATATATATATATATATATATATATATATATTACAAATGTATTCTGAGTGGATAATAGATATTAATTTGGAAATATGAACAAACAACACTCTTTTTGCACTAATTTATTAAATAATAATTTTCACAAACGTTTCGAGACTAGGTTTGTCTCATCATCAGTGTGTTATAATTAAAAAATTTTAATTATAACACACTGATGATGAGACAAACCTAGTCTCGAAACGTTTGTGAAAATTATTATTTAATAAATTAGTGCAAAGAGAGTGTTGTTATAATTAAAAAATTTTAATTATAACACACTGATGATGAGACAAACCTAGTCTCGAAACGTTTGTGAAAATTATTATTTAATAAATTAGTGCAAAAAGAGTGTTGTTTGTTCATATTTCCAAATTAATATATATATATATATATATATATATATATATGTTTTGTACCAATTTATAGAAAAAGATGTGGCTCACTATAAATACATAAAAGATGAAACAACTTCTAAACGAGCTTTGTTGAAAGAGACTGAAACTAAATATCATGATTGCACTGAAAATGTAGTCAAGCATCAAGAAAAACTCATACCAATCGAAGATAGACTTAAACAAATTAATGCAGTGGAAAATAATATAATCGCCTTAAAAACTGAACAAAAGTCTATAGAAATAAAGTATGTATTTTATGTTAATATACATTTTACAGAAAAATGTAGAATATACAAATTACAGAATTGTTTATAAAATTTTATATATGTTTTCATTACATCTAATCATAGATTCTAGTTTTTAAAATTAGAAATGTTTTATTAAATGCTCTAAATATGAACAAGGATTTAATTTGAACTTTTGAAAACATTTATATTTTATTATTTTTTGGACACTTAATTATGAAAATTTGCTATTTTCAAATGGCTTTTGAATTATAAGATTAATTCAGGCAAATGTGTGGAAATCAATATAAAAATTATAATTTTCTTATAGCTTATCAAATTGTAAGCAACAACAAGAAGAGTTACTTAATAATATCAAAGAAGTGTATCATGGTGATATAGACAGTTTACAAAAAAAAATAGGTATGCAAAACATGAATTGAAGTAGTTTTGGAATTGATTGCTAATTAGTAAATGCTCTCATTAAATTCTTTATGTATTGTATTTGTATGAATCAATTAAAAAAAGTTCTTTAGTTATGATATCTAATTATTTTACAGAATCTTTCCAAAAAACATTAGACACTAAAAAGATGAATTTGGAATCAGCTACAACTCGATTAAATAAAGTAGAAGCAAAGGAAATTGAATGTAATAAACAAATTACTGTAGCTGAGGTATTTCATTAAAACTACTAATAAAAATACTAATATATACTCATATTAAATTTACGAATAATTTTCAATGAAAGATTATTATAAATTGTACTTTTTTTAATGAATTTGTTATTGATGGATGCACTATTTTCAATATATTTTTTATATCAATTTTTAGTTAACAAAATATTAAAAAATATGTTTAATTGAAATTTATAACTGTTATATAACAACCAATATCATAATTTAATTTACAATAATTGAACTGCCATTCACTTTTATTTTACTCTGATTAATACATTTAAAGGTTCGAAAAGGCGAATTGATTTCTTTGCGTAGCCAAGAACAAGAGCTCTTAGCCAATCGCAATTCTAAACTAAGCAGAATGGCTGCTGAGACAGGTTAGTTTAAGGAAATGTTAACAGCATAAAATATATTATAGCTCATTTTATGTTTATAAAATATGCTATCTCTCAAAAGTATTAATTTTGTTGTTTTCTTGTTTGAGTTATTCTTAAAAGTGCAGTTTGCTCAAATAATTTTGAATTAAATTATTTGCCAGAATATATTATATAAATTATTATTAGTATAATTAACTCATTAATATATATATATATATATATATATATATATATATATATATATATATATTAGGGCGGGTCGATTTAAAGGTCACTTAGGCACATATGATTTTCGAATTCTAATTATTCTATCATAATTGCCTTAATTTTTTTTGGCTAGGGTAATTACCCGAATCAACATAAGTCAATATATATATATTGACTTATATATATATATATATATATATATATATATGTGTGTGTGTGTGTGTGTGTGTGTGTGTGTGTGTGTGTGTGTGTGTGTGTGTGTGTGTGTGTGTAGGATTCTCACACTGATATTAAATAGCTAAAATCATTGAAACTGTCCTAAACCATGATGATCCATTTAGAGAGTTAATTTTGTATCAGAATTCTTATATTTGAATCTGTGACCTGCGCAAATTTGCTATGTGCATTTATATTATTACAGGACTACCAAGTCATATGCATGCCTTTAGTAATATTGGATCTCTCCTGAATTTTATTTTTAACAACGTTCTATAAATGCTTAATAATTTTTTATACAGATTCTCAAGTCGAAGAAATAGATGATTCAAAGGAAGACGTTCATGATACAATGAATTCTGTAAAACATAGAATAACACGCATGCAACATGAACTAGAACAAATAAGTTATAATGTTGACAGAGAAGATAGTAAACATCAAGAAAAATTAAATAAATTGAGAGATAATCAGGTACGCAATAAATGTATCTTTGTGATAATTTTTTATCTAAATATAATCTTAATTGTTAAATTATTAAATTAATTTTTTTATCTAAACTTAATATTTAAATTTGCAGGCGGCTTTAAGAAACGAAATTAAATCAAAGTCATCACAAATGGATAATGTTGAAAAAGAAGCAGATTCTATCAAAAAGCAGTTAGATGAAATTGATAAGTCAGCAAATAAACTTAAAGAAATAGCAAGTAAAATTGAAATTGTTAACAGGTTAATGCGATATATTTAACAATTATTAGTCTTTTAATTGCCTTTTTCTAATCAATTGATAATCGATGTTTTTGCACATGAAAATGCATGAACTGCATGACTTTATTATATATGATCGATACACTATAAAGCTATTCAATTTCAATTATTAACTTTCCCTAGGGTAAGTTATAGTAATCGTCCAAAAATCGAAATCGAAATTTTTTGCATATCTTTACGTTTCAGAGGTTTCTGAACATTTTGCTATACCTTAGAAAACATGGATGTGTGTGTGATTTCGGGCGTACGGAAGAACCTATTTGAATGATTTAAAAAACAATCGATTTCTATTGATATGGAGACGTGCTGATTAGATTTTAGAAAAAGTTGTTACAGCCGTTTCGGATATACGTCGCAAAGAGTGCAGAAAATAGAAATCGAGTTTTTGAGAGAACGGAGCATCCGATTTGAATGATTCAAAAAACTTTCTGCATGTTTTGACGAAACGATTGCTTTTGGAAAAAAGATCTTTTTTAATTTCAATTTTATTTTTTTTAATTTCCAAAAAAAAGTTTCTTTTAATTAATTCGGATTTTAGTTCTAATTTTAGCTAAAGTTCTAAAGCTCACTTATAAACTTCAAATAAATAATTCTAACTTTGCAATACTGTTTATATAATTCTCATAAATATTAGACAATGTTCTTCATTTTAAATCCGACTAATTAACTTCCCGTAGGCCGTCCGATTTTAATAATTCAAAAAACATTTTACTTGTATTGACAAGATGAAGAATTGATCAAATTTTCATGAAGGCAGGTTTAGCGGTTTCGGAGATCTAATGAAAAAAGTAAAAAAAAAATCCTATGGGTTCAGTACCAATGCTTATCCGTTAGACGGCGACGCGGCGCTTACGCGCTTTGAGATTTCGTCTCTATGCAGTTAAAGCAGTACGATTGCTTTGAAAAAAGTTCAGAATTTCCAAAATATGTCAAAATAAAGAAAATATTTTTTTCAATAAAATTTTTTTTTCAAAAAAAAGTAATTTTGTGTCAAATTTATAGTTTCTCAAAAATCTAACTTTTCTCAAAAATGTTAATGGTCTTTAAAAAAGATAATAATATTTGGTACGGGAAATTCCAGCAATTTGCCTTAAGGCACGATGCCATGCGCCCCACTAGTTTTTGTTTTTTTTTTTTTTGTAAACATTTATAAACGTCGTCGTCCAATTTATAAACTCTTATATTTTGTCTATAAAATAACAGTAATGAAAGCTACAGTATTATAATAATAAGCATTTAATATTTTTCAAATATTTCATAACATTACGGTACAGGAAGTTACAGCAATTTGCCTTAAGGCGCGATGCCATACACCACTAGTTTTTAGTTTTAAATACATATATATACATAAATATATATTTTAGAGAGCAGCAAAAGCTAGTGGAACAATGTGATGTGGATGAATTAAAAGCTGAAATGGCTAAGAAAATAAATACCAGAAAGTCATTGGAAACAGACCTTGATAAAATCGACCAAGAGGTTGAAATAACTAATTATTCATTGTGTATATAGTTTGCAAATTTAATTTATATAACCATTTTTTTAGCTGCGTGAACTTCAGAAGCATAGTGGAATTCGAGCTGAGTTGGACATTCAAACACAACAATTATCAGATAAAAATAATGAAATAAAAAAGATTAAAAATAAGTACTCAGATGCTTTAAATACATTATTTGGAAATTTGGTTTGTATATTTGTTATTGAGGTTTTAATTTTTTGACTTCTATAACACTCAATTATAAAATTCAGGTACCCAGCACAAATTTCAAAATGTCAGTTCAAAGAAAGTATGATGATCTTTCCAAGGATGTGAATGATCTAAATAGTACAATTAAGAAGAAAGAGCATGAGGTATTCATCTTAATTTCAAATCATTATTGAATGCGTAACTGTAGGTCTGTAGACGAATGACGAAGAAAATATATACTAAAGTACCAAGAATATGTCGGTTCATTTATAAACTGAACATAATCTAGTACTTCACAAGTGAAACTAAGAAAAGAGTTTTGTTGATTTACATATTTTGATAGAGTTTTGAAATTTATAAAAAGTGTTTATTATTTATAACTTTGGTAAATGCCACTAGTGTTACATGATATGAGTGCAAAATGATTTCACTGAGAAGCTTGTTAAATAGTGGCCTGGAAGGCTAAACATTTTTGTACTGGTGATGCTTAGCGTGCTAATTATAAAAATCATAATCTGGCAGGTTTCAGTCCTGCATATGATGGTCTGAAAATACCGTTTTAGAATGCAAAAAATCGAAAATTAAACTTATTCCTGTAAGTTTTAAATATTTATGCAATTTAATTTATTCATTGAAAACTTAAAAATCAAATTGCCAGATGATTTCAACCTGCACAAGTCTAGATGAGCCAGAGGGTTTGTTAGCAAGATTCTGTTCAGCCCTTGCTAGGCGAAGGAAAAGATGCTAGTAATCTAATAGGTATAACATGAAAACTTATATCATATTATTAAATTAATAATTATCATCAAACAAAAGAACTTGAAAAGTTTGTCTTTAAAATGTACAAGAGGAAATCTGAAAATTTAAATAAAGAGTGAAAATAAAATATGAAACAGGAAACGGCACATAATTAAACCGTTATGATTCTTCAAATTTACCTTTATGCCAACGGAAACTACAGCAACAATTATTGTGATCTTTGTGTATTAAGCACAAACCCTCAGGAAATTCAATAAATAGGCATATCAGATAATGAATCCAAGTTCATATTTTATAGCGATTAATTAAATCCATTTTGACCATAATTTGATTTTTATATTTCCACATAATATAATTCACATGCATTATATTCACTTGCACTCCCGACATAGCACCCTTTTTTTGGCTAGTAAGGGCTTAGGCTGCACAGACCGGCCTGGCATTGCACATACCATTTTAAATCTGCTTACACAAACATATATAAATTTTAACCTTATTAGAACCTTTTGCCTTGTCTGGGAGGTACTTGGGCAAGTTGAAATTCTCCATCAATTTAATTTTTGAACTTCTTAATGAAAAATTAAATTGTACAAAAATTTGAAGCTTACAGGAACAAGTGTAATTTTCGGGTTTGTTGCATTTTTAAACGCCTGAGTGGCCATGATATGCTGGGCTGAAACCTGCTAGACAATGGTTTTTGTACTTACAGATCACTTGTTAGGTATGGTAAGAAAGTCCAGTACAAAAATTATTAGCCTTATATAGGAACACCATTAATCAAATGGTTCAGTAGTCTTTAGCCTATAAGTAATCACTTGTTAAAGTTCCTTTCTATTGCAATGTAAAAAAGGTTGCAGATACTATGTAACATTAAATTTTCGGAATTTATTTGAATTTTTGATCTCATTATATAAGTTTGAAATATATATATCATAGCTGGTAATTTGTATGGTAGAAAATCTGTATAACATTGCAAAATTATTTAAATTGGCTGCTCTTATTCTTTTAAGGGGGGCGATACATGTAACAAGAAAAAAAAATCGATTTTTTTTTTTCATAAATCGTTACAATAACATCTCAAAAATATGCCTGTAAATATTCAAAACAAAATTATCATTATTTATACAATAAAAACTCATTTAAGTGCCACGCCTCAACTCGACGCTTGAGTGCTATTGTACTCTTATCTGTTTCTGTGTCAAAACTTTAAACGCGTTTTTCTCAAAACGACACAAATTTGCGGGCCGGGATAACTCAAAAAGTTCTCAACCGATTCCAATGAAATTTTGCACACATCTACTTTACAGTAATAGCTTCTAGTTAAACCTCAAACATTCCAAACAAATTTTCAAAAATTAACCCTTTTACCAAAAAAAAACATTGAAAAAAAGGTGAAAAATCGAACTTTTTTTTCTGAGGTGTGCCAATTTACGATTTTGTGACTTTTTTAATTTTTTTTTTGGTTTAACTAGAAGATATATGTTTTATGAACACGTACAAACTAATTTTTTTGATTTCAAATCACCGTACGAAAAGTGAGAACGCCCGCAAATTGATGGCGTTTTCCGAGAGGGTCTTGGCAGATTTATTTTTACGGCAGCCATTTAAAAAAAAAATTAAAAAAAAATTTTTTTTTGTGTATTTTAATATATAATAAATAACCCTAAAAAGTTCAAAAAGATTCAGTCATTCCTTCCCAGTTTAAAAAGTCCTCAAAAAATGGTAAAAATTAAGGCGATTACATGTATCGCCCCCCTTAAAGGACCATAAATATTAAAAAAAACCAATTTTGGGACATATATTGATAATTTCTTATATATATATATATATTTAAACTTTCTTTTTTTTTCTTTTAGAGTGTTGTTTTGAAATCAAATAGAGAGCACCAGAAAGAGCAAGTTAAAACTTTAAGCAATGAGTTGAATAAATATGAAGAGCAAGTTTATGAAGAATGTCAGGGTCAAGATTTTGAGAGTGAGCTTGCAAAATTAAAAGACAGTATTGAAAGAAATTTGGTATGTTAGTAGACTTTATGGTCATTAACCACTTACGCATCTCGAATGAGACCCTCTCGCGCGCCGAATGTGCTTCGATTTGCTCTCGCCCGAGACCCTCTCGCCACATACAAATATTCTGTTTCCATTTCGAACGATTCTGTCTCGCTTAAAAATTGTTTCGATGTTTGCTATTGCGAGTACTTCTGGGCTCTTTATATATATATTTATTATCTTTTATCTCAAGCGATAATTTTTAGTCATTTTGCAATTTATCTATAAATGTGAGCATAACAATGCTTTTTATAGTCTATAGAAATATCGAATTGTTGAATAGATTATTATTTCATAGAGCTTATAAATTTGTTCTTGTAAGGGAATATTTATTATATAATTGTTCAAAATTTCGATTTGGTGATTTTGGCGATTTTAAAAAAAAAATATTTGAATTTTTAATTTTTTTAAAAAAATGTTTTTTTTTAATTTCACACTTGTTTTGACTTTATATAATCATTTCTACAATATAAATATGTCGATTAAAAGCAAAAAAAAACTGCTTATTTTTTTACCTCACTTTACAAAAGAACCCTTAGCATTAAGTGGTTAATTGCATTTATGATATAAACTTGCTGTTATCAAGATTAATTTAATCTTTCTAATTTTCTATTCTATTAACATATGGTTATGGATAAAACTATATTAATTATACATTACTTTAAATCGTAAACCTTTTTGATAGTTGCTTCAAGGGAAGATGCCACTTACATTTAGTTAAGTTGTTTATTTTCATACTTGATGTGGGGCATTAAAATCATATGTCAAAATTCCAAGATTAATATTGACTTAGAGAGTTCAAAATTGCAATTTTATCTTCATAAATATTCACACATTTATTGATATTTCATTGAATTTAATTTTCATAATGGTTCATATGGATTTTTATAGCAGTTTTAGAAATAATGAGCGTATTAGATGTTAAATTAAATTATTGAAATTTAAATTATTGATTAATTAAAGAAACACCGAGGTACTTTATCATCTTCTTCATATATTTACGAAAAATATATTGAGACTTTTGAGAAAGACGACCCGTGCTGTCCGTTATGCCACAGAAATTTTGACAACCAAGAAGAAGTATCGGATTTAGCTTCAGAGCTTAAAATGAAGTTGCGCAGATTGCCAGCAGAACTAGAAAAGACTGAAATGTTAGTATTATATATGAATAGTTTTACATATTCTTATATTTATATGTTGTAATACATTTTCACAGAATTTTGAAGAGGGATCAAAAGAAATATGATACTCTGCTCTCTCTAAAGCCAGTTATTGATAAAATCGCCTCCATAAAAAAAGACTTGCCAACTGTAAAAGACAAGTTGAAAAAACAGAAACATCACTACAAAATGTTTTATCAGAGGTATTATGGCTTTGCAATATTTTCATGCATTCAATGTAATTTATAAAATATTAAATAATTTTGTTAGGTTGAAAATTATAAGATGTCCATATGTGAACCCCAAAGCAGCATGGAATTAGCCAATTCTATAATTCCTGATATGTCAATGTTGGATCAAAATTTGTCTGTTGTACAAAAACTACAAAAAGAGGTAATTTTATTATAATTGTACTAAACACTTACTGCTGATTGCATTAATTAAGAGTAATGAATCTCCTAATAATTGGAAAATATGAATAAATAATTGAATGTATTTAATTTTACATTTTAAAAAGGCTAATGTATAATTTTTTTTATTGAATTTTTTTGTACACAGTTAATATTATTTTTTACATTTTGATAACTTATTTTTTACGTTACTTTATAATTATTCTAATTATTTTAGTTTTCACTATTATTCTGATACTTTTTAACTACCGTATGGTAATCGCAAAAAAATTGAAAATGAAAAAAAATTGCATTGCATTGCATTGCATTCTGAACATGTTGTCATGCCCTTGAAAAAATGGATGTATGGGTTTGTGTATGTTTGCGATTTCGGGAGCACGCATCGAAAAGCAGCAATTTACTGGTTCAAATTTTACCAGACTTGAACGGGTTTCAAACTTTTCAAAATCTTACAAAATATTTTATATTTATAAGTTGTTTTTTATCCAAGATTCTTCCAAAAATTAATTTAGCAAAATTTTCAAAAAATTTACCGTTTTTAAAAATCCTAAATTGCGGTACGGGAAGCTTCTGCAATTTGCCTTAAGGGGTTAGGGGTACTTTAATTTTTGAAAAATCGATTTTAATTTTTTTTTGCATTTTCATTAAGTGCAATATCTTGAAAATGTTCTCTGAAAATTTCAAGTTGATCCGATGATTACTTTTTGAGTTATTGGACTCTTACCAGCGCGTTGACGCAAGTGGAGAGCTCGATACTTATACTCAAGATTATTCTTCCTCACCTCCTGATGTTTTAAAAGCTTTTAAACCGATTTACGACGATCTCAGCAATGATAATATACTTTCAAGATGTGTAGTTCAAGATTGAATCCATAATCAGAAAAAATTAAAAGCTTCAACCAATATACATAATTATTATTATTGATTTTGCATACCCTAGGACCTAATTGTGGGTATAATTCCCATTGGTATGCTGAAAAATTGAATGCTGCACGTGTGAAAGTGGCAGATCAGCGGGCCAATGCGGCCACTCGGGAGGCCCGAATGCTTCGTAGGCAACAGCAAATGAGAATTTTGGAAACTTGCACAATGACTGATGAACTATTATATGACCCAGAAATAGATGACTCGGTTTAAATAATTCAATGATTCGAATTTCTGTACGTAAATCCAATGTGAAACTTTAAACGCGTTTTTCTCAAAACTATGTTTTCTGAAACGGTGACCACTGTAACTCATAAACCGCTCAATAGATTTTAATGAAATTTATACAGCTTTTAGAAAACATAATAAACTCGGCCTGATCGAAGGATTTTCTTTTTTTATAAAAAATTTCAATTTTTTTAAGACCAATTAACTGTTGATTTTTTACCCAAAAACCTAGAAATTTTCTTTCTGATGCTGCCATTTTGATAATTTTTGAAAAAAAAAGAAAACCTTCGATCAGGCCAAGGATTATCTATTTATAAAACTAGTTTTTTTTATTTGATTGATTTTAGATGAATCTCTAAGGAGTTATGATGGTCACCGCCAGGACCGTTTTTTGAAACAGAGTTATTATTTTTCTATAAAATTTTTGTTACTTCAAGTCAAACCATTGTACAATAATGCCGTATTAATATTTTTGTAAAAAAACATCGTTTAATTTAATAAACATCTCCAAGTACCAAGTATCTCCAAGACACGATGCCAAACGCCACGATTTTTTTTGTATATTTCTCGGTTTCAAGTTACATACACTTACTGCACTTTCAGACTAGATGATCATGAAGCAATTGTATCATAAATCTTAATATATATTTGTGAATATTTAGGTGCTTAATTTACAATCGAAATTACCAAAAGTGGAAGCTGGGTGGACATTAGAAGACGCGCAGTCCGAGCAATCTGTGATTAAAGCTGAATTGCAACAAACTCGAAATGAAATTGAAAATTTACAGGTAGAATCAATCAATTCTTAATTCAGTATAACGTTTTCTAATGTTAATGTGCAAATTTAGAATAAAATTTCGAGGCAAACTGATAAAATTAATGACATCCGGGAAAAGAAAAATAGATTGATTGAGGAGCAACTACGTTTACAAAGTGGAGTCCAAGCTCGAAGGTATCTATTTTATATATATATATATATATATATATATTAGTAGTTATTTGTAGTTTATTAAATTTTATAAAAATTACTGATATCTTTCATTAAATTTGCATGATTTATAATATCATTTATAAAGTTTGTCATATCCATAATCTATATCTGTAAGTCTCTATATACTTAGATCTTATGTTTCCATATGGTATGGTATGTATACTAAATGTTACTGTATAATACACTGTTTTAATTCAAGAATATAAATAATTTTTATTCTAGTCAGTTATCTGCTTCTTATGATAAATTACAAGAGCAATTGGCTGTTTTAAGTGTGGCAATTGAAGAGAATAAATGCAATTTAGAACCATTACAGAAACAGTATGATGAGGCATTAAGAATAAAAAATTCCGCTTTGGAAAAAAATAGGTAATTGCATCAGTTTTTTGTGACTTATATCAATTATTTTTGCATATTAATTTTTATTTATGTTTTTTCGGTATAGAACTATATTAAAAGAAAAACAAAATCATGTTACGAATTTAGAAAAACAGTTTGATGATATACAAAAGGACACTGTAAAACTCCAAAAATTTTCAAGTCAGAACTTAGAAAAACAGGTTGAAGAAATTTTAACTAGTGTTCAAGATTTATATGACACCCGAAAAGAGATTGTAAATTCAAAGAAAAAACTGCAGCAGGATATCAATCAATTTAAGGAGGACTTATCAAATCAAGAGGTTTGTGTATATTGTAGTAATCAGATAAGTAATTATATTTTAGATTTAATAGAAAAACTTTTGCATTTTGCATTTGACCATGTAGTACACTTATTAAAAAAGTGTGTCAATAATAAGTACTTCATTCGAATTTAGAATTAAGAAAAAAATTGGAAGTAATACTTATAAAAATAAAATAAAATTTTTGGATGTCGAAAATTTAAAAAAAATGTTCAAATAATCTTGATTTGATTGAAGTTCTCATATATATGAAATTTTAGAGTTTTTAAAACGTTTTATAAAAGCCTTAATTATTTAGGTAAAATCATTCACTTACGTTTTTTTGAAAAATTGACAGAAATTTGATATATGCATGTGTTAATGTCAACACCTAAATTAGCAAGGCTTTTATAAAAACAATAGAACATTGTACATTGTCAATATAAATGAAGCAATTTTTGAACCATCCAAAAATTTTCTGCAGAAAATTTAGTGTTGTATAGCATACCTAAGAGGTGTGACTATTAAGCAATGAGACTGATTATATTGCCGCGATTGTAGTAACACTGCGATCTTGAAATTGCATTTACCTTCTCCCCGGCATGTTTCCCTTCTCCATTGATATATTTGCCATCGCTCTTGTTTAGTTCACCTGCTTAGTCGTGTTGAGTTTGTGGTGTTTGTCACCAAAATGGAAATTGGCAATAAAGAGAAACGCGTTGCGATAAAATTTTCCAACTAATTGGACGAGGCAGCTTTGGAAACGTGTACTAAAATTGTAAAAGCGCATGGTGATAGTGCTCAAGTGTGTAGATGGCGTAAAGAGTTTAAGGAGGGCATGAAAGCATGGAAGATCGGGCGCGGATCAAGTCGAAAGTGAAAACGATCATGATTGCATTTTTTGATAGCCGTGGAATCCTTCGCTAGTAATTTGTTCCGCCGGGGCAAACCGTAAACTAAGTTTACTGACAAGTACTCGAAAGATTGCGAAAACAAGTTAACAGGGTGCGCTCATACATCGCTCGTAATCGGACCTTTCCTCACAACAACGCGGCGTGCCACACCACCCTCAGCGTGTCCCAGCATTTGTCTTTATAAGGGATCGCCGTGTTATAATAATCGCCTTATTCGTACTATATATCGCCATGTGATGTTTTTTGTTCCCTAGTACAAAATCGGTGTTCGAAAGTGCAATTGAAAACATGAGAAGTAAATACAAATATTTTTTTCATTTATTTTTATTATTAACCCTTATTGGTCGCTAGCTTTCCATACGTGATTCCCACTAAATAGTGGTGGTCTCGATAAGTATACGAAATCTCTTTTAAATAAAAAAATGAATTAGATACTTTTGTACATATACGAGGGACAAGTAAAAATACGGTTCTCAGATTTTTTTCAGGCTTGCGGCATTTTTTATTGCAATATATATGTATACCATCTGAAAGCTTGTATTTCAAACTATTTTTCTACATAGTCGCCAGATCTTTTAACGCATTTTTTCCGACGATTTTCTGAAAACCCTCTTCGAAAAACTTCGCCGCTAGGCCTTCAATATACTGAATTGTCCTGAGCTGGTGGTAATTATATTGGGAGGTAGGTTCTGGATCACCAGTACAACCAGGAATTGTAATGATAGGCTGGACCCGAGCGGTGAACAGTTGAATAGTTGTTGAAGTATTATATTTTGATGTGGACTCTCCAGAGTCCAATGGTAGTGTGAAAGGCCTTTAGGACGAACAGCGATTTGATAGTAGCGATTTGATAGTAATTTGTAACACCACTTCTTACTTTGAATGATACTTTTATTATTCGCTATTTTTACAATTAATATTTGTTGATAACCTTTTGGTTATCATATCAGCAAAGACTACATTTTACTGAATACTATGTCTGGCTCCAAGCTTGACTCCAAGCTTCTCTCCAGGCTTGACTGCCTGTCTAACTTTTGTCTAACTCTTATATACTAATTATTGTTTACAACCTATTTACAAATCCAACAGTAAGCACTTCCGATGTCCGCGTAACCTACATATAACTAGCAACGCGTTTTGTAATTATTAAACAAATAATGATTCGAATTGTTATTACAGTTCAACCTCCCTCTTCAAAAGTTTTCGTCCTCGGAAAACTATAAAAATTAAGAAAAAATTTAAAAAAATGAGTTCCATCTCTTCTTCCTTCGGCCCTTAAAAACTTTTGTCCTCAAAAGTGTCATTACTGTTAGAATATGTTTACAAATAATGTGCTCTGAAAAAAAATCTAATAATAATTTTATTTTTATCTCTACATGAATAAATCTTTAACAACATATAAAAATCAGCAGTTGAATGCAAATTAGATGGTCGCTGATTATGTAAAGGCATCACTGAAATTTAAATCTTATTCCGGTAAAACAAATATGCTTCGAACAAACTTACCATAAATGATGCAAAATATTTTTTTTCAAAACTGTTATATCAATAGAGCATAAAAATCATAATATGAAAAATGTCTTTAACATCTGCAAAAAAATATTAATGGCGTAAAGAATCTTGCATTTGATAATTTAAATCATAAATAGTAATTAATGAAAATTTAAATTTACGTTGTATTGTTAATTCTTGATATATTCGAAATTTGCTGGGTAATCAAAATTGAACAAATGTTGCTTTGAAATATGAGAATTCGCTTATGTGTCAACCAAACAAAATGACTTGCGTTGTTATTACTGTGTTTACACCTGGCGAGTTTTCAGTTTCTTCCGGTATTTATAATTAAACAATTTTGGTGCTGTTCTGAATATAATAAAATCGGGAATATTTCTCTTCTTTACATGTGTTTGCGACGATATTAATTTTCTGCTGCTTTGGCTTTGTAAATGTGCATATTTCTCATTTGTTTTCAAATTCATATTCTTACGGTTGAACATATCTGTCAAAGTGGCTATATTTTCATTTATAGACAATTTTTGTTGTGAAGGTATTTTTCTTATCATATTAATATTATATTCCCTGATTTCTTGATTATTTTCTTCTATAATTTCATCATTAATTTTTCTTCTTTTAATATTTCTTTTCTTTTTCTTCTTTATTTTAATGGGAATAGTTTTTATATATTCTGGTCCTTCATCATTAAGTATTCTTATTTCTTGTTTATCATTAATTTCTTTCATGTCGTAAACCTCATCTTGGGTTTGTTCCGTATCTTGTGCCACATATATGTTCAGATCCTTTTCTTCTTCGTATGAATTTGTTCGTATGGTTTGTTCCATATCTTTTGCCTCATATAGATCCTTTTCTTCTTCGTATGAATTTGTTCGTATGGTTTGTTCCATATCTTCTGCCTCATATAGATTCTTTTCTTCCTCGTATGAATTGCACGTATGGTTTGTTCCATATCTTCGGCCACATATAGATCCTTTTCTTCTTCGTATGAATTTGCAGCGATTGTCGTCAACTCTTCTATTTTGGTGTTGTGAGTCAAACTTTCTTCTTTGTATTCTTCTTGTTCTTCGGATTCTTCGGATTCTTCGGATTCTTCGGATTCTTCGGATTCTTCGGACTCTTGGGACTCTTCTTTAGTTGTTATGAATGCCTTGTATGTATCATCATATGTTTTTGTGTATTTCAGATCCTTATTACTTTCGTAGTCCATTCTATCGTCATTTCCACCATTGTAGATTCTAAGTTTGTCATCTCTTTTCCTATTTGTAAGTTTTCGACATTGGTTAATGTGGTGTCTCCTTTTCTTGCAGTATCTGCAAGTGACAAATGGATTGTATTTTTTATCAGATCTGATGTTTAAATATTTTTCTTCCTTTGCAGCAATGTGCATAGCATCTTTCAAATTTTCCGGTTTGGCTGCTTTAACTATAATTTTCAAGTCCAATGGTAGGCCTTTAACAAAAACTGCCAAAGCCAAGTCACAATATGATGGATACGCTATTTCATTTTGTGTAAAATAGCATTCGTTGTTTATTAACGTAAGCAAACTCTCAAGTTTCTCTGCAAACTTCTCAATCGATTCCCCATTTTCTCTTGTTGTTGCTAGCTCGTGATGTAACTCAGCTATGGACCTTCTATCTTTAAAACGTTTAATTAGAATAGGTTTGACATTATTCCATAACTGATAATCAGCCCGTCTAATGCAATCAAAAGCTGTTCCACTTAATTTACAAATAACAATTTGATATAAATTTGTATGTCTTAAAATCTACATCATCAAAATTGAGTCTACAGTACTTAAAAATCTATAAAGGTCATCTGAATTGCCATTGAATTCGGGTATAGTGCTAATTGCTAATTGAATTCTAAATTTATTTATTTCTATACTATTATCTTTACCTTCTCTAGCTTCTTCAAAAATGGGTTCCATCTTGAGATATGATTAATTTTGATTTGCTTACTTGAATCCGATGAGATAGTTATATCCAAGTTAGTCGTAGTCTCGCGTTCGTTCTAAAGTTCTTCGGTAGGCGCCACCATCCCTTAGTTTGTGCTGCGAATGATCGTTCGGTTTGTCGAGTTGTGGCAGCTTTGAACTCGATGTCTCCGTCAGAAAATTTTTCAGCGCTACGAGGGAAAAAACCGCTAAGCCACCATGAATTGTCCTGAGCTGGTGGTAATTATATTGGGAGGTAGGTTCTGGATCACCAGTACAACCAGGAATTGTAATGATAGGCTGGACCCGAGCGGTGAACAGTTGAATAGTTGTTGAAGTATTATATTTTGATGTGGACTCTCCAGAGTCCAATGGTAGTGTGAAAGGCCTTTAGGACGAACAGCGATTTGATAGTAATTTGTAAACACACTTCTTACTTTGAATGATACTTTTATTATTCGCTATTTTTACAATTAATATTTGTTGATAACCTTTTGGTTATCATATCAGCAAAGACTACATTTTACTGAATACTATGTCTGGCTCCAAAGCTTGACTCCAAGCTTCTCTCCAGGCTTGACTGCCTGTCTAACTTTTGTCTAACTCTTATATACTAATTTATTGTTTACAACCTATTTACAAAATCCAACAGTAAGCACTTCCGATGTCCGCGTAACCTACATATAACTAGCAACGCGTTTTGTAATTATTAAACAAAATAATGATTCGAATTGTTATTACAGTTCAATACTTAGTGACCGCTTCCTTCACCTCTTCATCTGTACTGAAGCGTTGTCCACTCAAGGGTTGCTTCAATTTCGGGAACAAGTGGAAGTCGCTGGGAGCAAGACCCTCGGCACACTTGACTCGATTGTATTTGTGGGTTTCTGAAAGGATATGCGGAACCACAAACCCACCGCGCACACCCCTTGTTAAAACCAAGTTTTTTTGGTCAAAATGTTTTTTTCCACAAACCTCAGAAACCTGATCAGCCAACTCTTGAAGCGTTACTTCTCGATCCTCGAAAAGAATGCGTTTAATCTTCGCCACGACTTCGTCGGACACCGACGGCCTTCCGCTCTTTTCCTCGTCGTGACGTCTGTGCGCAGAACTCCCTGCATCATTTGCGGACGTGCTAGACGCTGATGCAAACTTTGCCATAAACTTTTTCCAACTGTATATGAATTTCAATAGGTGTAAGCTTCTTCGCGTTTAAGAGTCGAATCACTGAACGGATTTTACACCTGGCGGTGACGGTGATTGGGGGCTCCGTCGCGGATGGCTGTTAGACTGGCACTAACAAGGAGAACCCGCGCATTGCTCGTCTGGGATTTTGATGAAATTTGGCACAATGGTAGATTTCATGCCCAAACTGACGCTGGTAAAATATTAGAGGCCTATGAAAAGCGGTTTAGCTTCGCAGTGATCTTCCAGATAGTTGGGATCAACAATGAAAGCGGAGTTGCCGGATTTTACCTAGTATCTCGCGCGGCGAGTGTACAGCGTTGGGAACCTTATTTTTTACTTGCTCCTCGTATTATGCTTATTTTTTTAACAACTGTCGAAATTTTTATTGCTGTCATATTCATGGTCAAAGAAACCCATTTTGAGTCGATTGAGGATAGCATACAGGGGGTGGTGACGAGGGTACTGGCGGACATCCCAGTCGAAGCGTGGAAGACGCGCTGGAATCGTGTTGCTGCCCGAGGGGCTACTTTGAATGGCATGGCAGAGTTGTAGAATAATTGTGAAGTTTTTTTTTAACACGGTTTTTATGGAATCAGTCTCGATACTTAATTGTCACGCCAATTATCATACTTAATATGTCAATTTTGTCAGTTAAGTGTGCTAAAATCTATTCTAAGAAATTACTCTGTGACAAGTTAAATAAAATTATATATAACTTTATAATCATTATAACTTTATAATTGACAAGAGCCTGAAATAATATCTATTATTATTGATTACGACTTGCTTATGAATAAATAAATAAATTAATTAAAAATAAATAATCGACTTGGTGTTTTGACACCATAAAATTTGAAATGTGATTACTTAATTTAACAGTATTATTATTATTATCTACCCTATTATTCAATTATTGTGACTTCTTTATTTGGAATTTGGATGTTGATATTTTGTAATTTATGGTTGTTTTGCCATGTTCTATATTTGAGCATCCATACATAATGGTTTGCTCTGTTTTTAGCGTAACTGTTTGCTGTTTTCTATTTTAAATCAAATTTACATACTATTTGTGATATTTTGTTTGTTTATTTTATGCTTATTTATTTTACACCATTGATTTAATATAGCTATTTTATATATAAAATAAATCTTTTTTTTAGTTGAAAGAAAGGGACCTTGCTGACAATATGGCTTTACGACAGAAACAAATGGAAGAAGAAAATTTGAAACAACAGATGAATGTTCTTAGAACGAAAATGGGCGACATGAACTCTAAGAATATTCTTATCGAAAAGTCTGATTTAATACAAAAACATACTAATACAATCAAGAGCATTTCTGAATTGAAAGGGCAATTGAAAACATTAGAAGTAAATAAAAAAAATGCATTTATTTTTATTATTAACCCTTATCGGTCGCTAGTTTTTTACGTGATTCGATTATTGCTATTATCTCAATATCCATCGAAAATTTTTTTTTTTTTTTAATTTTGATTGGTTTGGTCGTTGTCACCACGCTAGTGACCGCAGTAATGTTGTTATGTCACAGGTGGCTTCCGACCGATAAAGATTAATATGTTTATTTAGTAAATTTTATTTTTGGTTATATAATTTTCTACGTTAATTGCTAGGAACAAATTAAGGCAATGAAACATGAATTACAAACAAAATATAAAGATGCCGATAAACAATATTTAGAACGAGTTTATAAATTGGAGTGTGAAAAGCAAATGGTGAAAAATCTGGCGAATTATTCTTTAGCTTTGGAATGGGCTATTATGAAATATCATGAAGAAAAAATGATTAAAATCAATGTCCTAATTAAAAAAATGTGGAGAGAAATTTATAAGTAAGTTATATTTAAATTATATTAGTTTTGTATAAAATATTTCTATGCATGTTACTGATTTATTAACTTTCCGTATTGTTATAGTAATCGTCCGAATATCGAAAATGACAATTTTTGTATATCTTTACGTCCCAATTGTATATATGTATGTGTTTTGTGTCGATACAAATTTTCGTTCGAATTGATAGAGTAACGTGCTGTTTTGATTTTTGGAGAAGGCGGATTCATGACGAAAAACTGCTCGGCCATTTTTTATTATAAACTATAATCAGCACTATTTCCGACTGATATTTTTCAAACGGTTTTTAAATTTGAAAAAAAGTTTTGCGTTATTACGTCAATTGTATAGAATTGGCTTATTGTGTTGAAAGTGGTCGATCGTTTTGCGAAACTAGTTGAATCTGGGTAGCGAATTTAATCAAATGTGCTTTAAATTTTTGAAATTCAATCAGTCATTTGAGAAAACGAAAGGTAAAACTTTTTTCGCCCTTCCCCACACGGCACTCATTTACACTCATACTTTTTCCAAATTTTGGCTAAAACGATTCAGAATGACTTCAATCGTCGAGAAAACAAAACTTGCGAATAATTTTTTTTGACTCTTCTTCGGCAACCTTAAGGCCACTGCTATAACAAATTATTTCCAGTTCCGCATAAAAAAACTGCATACGGTTTAATGTTTGGTTTCAGTATTTTTTTGTGAAAATGTTTCGGGAATTTTAAAAAAGTATCTGTAATTCGTATAATGAGCCAGAGGAACCTTACTAAATTTGAAGATACTACACATCAGCTTTAGCAGCGTGGTTGTTGTTCTATAAGATAATAACTACTTAAGGCAAATTGATAGAATTTCACTTACAAAAAATTATTTTTTTTTAAAAAAACTTAAATTTTTTTTGAAAACTGAAAAATTAGATTTTTAACAATTCTGAAATATTTGAAGCAATTTTACTTTCTTGAAAAATGTTTTTTTTATTTTTAAATTTTTTGAAAATTTTGAACTTTTTTTCAAAGCAATCGCGCTGCGTAGCTGCTTTAAAAATTTATACTTAATATTAAAATGGTGAATCTCCGAAACCGTTAGACCTGCCTTCCCAAAAATTTATGAAATCGTCAACGAAAATTTATATCAAAACACAAACATACATCAATTTTTTGTAAGGTATGCTAAAATGCTCCTAAACCTTGGAAACTTAAAAATATATAAAAATTTTCATTTTCTACATTTTCATGATTGCTATAACTTAAACTACGGGTAGTTAATAATAGTCTTGTCTCTTGTATTCTATGTGATTTTATTTTGCTCTTATATGTACAAATGTGTTTGTTTTGCAGGGGTAATGATATTGATTACATTATGATAAGAACTGATGAAGCGTCTGGTGTGACTTCAAAAAAAAGAACATTCAATTATAGGTATATTAATTTAGTTTTATAATAAAAATGAATTATTATTTATTTATTTTATTTTTATTTTATTTTATTTTACAGAGTAGTTCAGATAAAGAATGAGGTTGAAATTGATATGAGAGGCCGTTGCAGTGCTGGTCAAAAGGTCTTGGCATGTCTCATCATCAGAATGGCTTTAGCTGAAATATTCTCAATTAATTGTGGTGTGATAGCATTGGATGAACCGACCACAAATCTTGATAGAAGCAACATTGAAAGTTTAGCTATCGCTCTGGGGCAGTTAGTTGAATCCAGAAGTGCGCAGAGAAATTTTATGTTGATTGTTATTTCTCATGATGAAGAGTTTATTGAAGCTTTGTCCAAGGTTCAGGACTTATCTAAATTTCATAGAGTCACTCGTAACAGGTTTGGAAAATCTGTTATAACTCGCATACAAATTGATAATGCCTAACTTGTTTTTGTTAATAAATTGTTATGAACTAAGCATATTTAATTTAATTATTCTTAATATTTTTCACATATATTCGTTATATATTCTAAACTGTAATTTATGTTTTCTATTAAATGGTTATACTTTTACTTATATTATTTTCTTATTGTATTGATCAAAATAAAATTTGGAATATAATAGAAAGTCAACCTAATAGAAATCAATAATTCTAAATTTTAGATGGGATAAGTCAATTAATATCATATAATGTAAAGATATATTTTTCTTTATCTTAGAAGTTGCGATCATTTTTGTTTATTGTGAATAGTCTGATGGAAAGCAGCCATGTTAACATTTCAGGTGGAAAAATCTTTTGGCACATATTGGCTTAAAAATTCTAATTTTTTCATTTTAATTCCATTATTTCTTCAACAACTTTGCGACTATTTATTACTATATTCGTACACATATATAAAACATTAATAAAAGCTGATAGTTTTCATAACATATGACTAAATACTAGTAATTTATTACTTTGATACGTAAAATAACATAGTCTATAATTTAATACTGATTAATTTGCTTCAATTTACCCTGTCTCATCTTATTCACTATACAGGATTATTTTGTTTTGGTTTCCGTTTGTGCTTGTTCCATGCGCAGCATCTGAAATATTATACATTGTATAATAAAGTTGATATGTATAAGAGATTTTTATCAAATATTCGTAAGAGGCAAAAAAACAATAGTTGATTGTTTTTTATTAAAAATTGTTTATATATATAAATATGTATATATATATATATATATATATATATAATAAAGGGCAGCATTGCCCTAAGTCAGGTCCGTGAGCTGAGTTAAACTCTAATTCGATTCAGGGAAGAAGCAGTGTGAGTTTTTCTCAATTCCATTTCACATCGCAGTGCTCCATGTGGGTTAATTTTCAATTGAAGACATATTTTGATCTATATTTTCAAGTGAAAATGGATATAGTGCTGGCCGATGTCAGATTTACAGATATATAATATGCCGCAGGCTGATCCGGAAAAAGGAAGGTCACATTGAATCAAGGAGACATAAACAGCGTTGAGATAGGGAGAGGAGTGCGGCAAGAATGCTGCATGTCACAGATCTATTTCAATCTATATGGAGAATGGCTCGTCAACGAGGCTCTTGAAGGCGCAGGAGATTTTTCAATCGGAGGAAGAATAATGATTACAATAAAGTACGCCGATGATCTCCTTGTGATATCGAAAACCGAAAGCGAGCTACAAAATATGATGAGCAGAATCGTTGCAGTGGGCAGAAGATACGAGATGGAGATCAACATCGACACATCGAAAGTGATTAGAATATAAAAACAAGATAAACCCCTGAAGATAACAGTGAGAAATTGAGAATTTGAAGACTTGGATCATTTCAAATAGTTAGAAAACATCCTGATCAGAAACGGATACTGCACGAGAAAGTTTAGGACAAGGAACGAGCAAACTGAGTCTCGATTTGCGGAAGAGACTAATAATGTGACATGTTTGGATGGAGCATAGCTCTGTACGCATCACAAACATGGACTCTAAGAAAGGACGATAAGAACTTTCTGGAGAGTTTTGAAATGTGATGCTGAAGGGGCATGGAAAAAATAAAGTGGACAAGATATCAAATTAAGAAGTCGTGAGTCCTGTCCAGACCAATTCTGCAAAAAGAATGCCTTCTGCTGGATGTAGTCAAGGGTAAAATAGAAGGAGTGAAAGTAATGGAAAGAAGAAGAACGCAGATGATTGATAACTTACGCGAGAAGATGAAATATGGGATATTGAAAGCCGAACAAGACCAGGAAGCATGGAAGCAGAAGTTTGGAAGAAAAATTCATAAAAAATGATAAAAAGTGATTACTCTTCATTATTTGATGGAAATAAAACGGTAATGGAAATATTGAACGGTAATGGAAGAAAATCATTGATTTTGTGGTGCTCAAATATCAATTATTATGTTACGGCTATATTAGTGGCAACCGTCATTTATGTTTGCGGGATTTTATAATATATTTGTTTATTATTTTATAAAAAAAAACAATATTTTATTATTTATTACAAAAGTAGTGAACAATTAAACCTAATTTAGTTTAGCGCCTAGCCGCCTTAGTCGTACCTACTACTAAAACACTATATAGAATTCACTGAGATCACTAAAAAGCTTTAGTTATATAGTTACCAAGTCAAACATAATTATTTATTTTTCTCGCATACGACTCGTTTTCGGTCTGATTTCTAGTTGAATAACTAGATTCAACGTCCTAACGCGGGTTTACTGTATTTCATATATTCTGTAGTCAAGAATGTTAGTAGCAATAGTAGCACTGTTATGATTATAATTGCATGGACAATAGTAGTAATAAATATAAATACCTTGCGATTACCAGGGACCAGTGATAGTATAAAGCAAACGCCAAGAAAACTAGCAAAACGGGCATCACAATTGCAGTAGCCGATGCCGCCGCTTTTCGGGAAAAATCCCAAAACTTCACCCAGCAAAGTATAGCAATTTCCATTAAAAATAGTATCAGACCTGAACACACAAAGTTAAAGAATATTATTATCCAAAATAATGTTAAAATAATACTTATCGAGTTGTCATACCTAGAAATGTACTTAAGACCCAAGCTAGATCGATGTAACTCTTCAATTTATAATGCGGGCAATCCGTTAAAGCGCTTTCGTTAGATAACTAAACAAAATAATTTATATTATTAATAAGTTGTTTAAATTATGTATACATATATTTTAAAAAAATATATCAGTTAAAACATATTTAATTTATACTAGAAAGACTGTTATTTTAATACGAAATATAATTTTAAAATGAATTATTTGGAAAATATCTATTACAAATTTGAGAAAATGTTTTATGATATATTAGAAATATGATAAATAAACATAACTACGTAATGGTTCTGATAAAATGATTTGCAGTGAAATTATTTCTTTACTTAAGATAACATAGGCATTTGACATATTTAAATGCTAAAAAGATATAAAAATTCTGTGTCGATATCGTTCTGAAAAGCAGCCCTAATGATAGGAACAGAATATTTATTTATTTATTCATAAGCAAGCCGTAATCAATAATAATAGATATTATTTCAGGTTCTTGTTAAATTATTTCAGACTCGTGTCAAATAAGTATTTTATGCATTTGAAGTGAAGAGAAATGAAGTATAATTCATATATGATATGTTAAATATATTTAACAAAACATTATGTAAAGCTTTCTGCTTAGAGTAGATGTTTTAGTTCTACTGAAAAGTTCTATTGAAATTATGACATCATCATAAGAGTGAGTTGAAATGAAAATTTTTATATATATTTCAAAAATTTCTGAACATTTTGGCATATTTTAGAAAAAATGGATGCAAGTATGCGTGTGTGTGTGCAGATACTAATTTTTGTCGACGATATTGGGAACACGGATCAACCGATTTCATTGATTCAAAAAACATTTGATTGCTATCGATAAAGAAACATGCTGATTAGTTTCTGGACAAGGCAGGTCAAGCCGTTTTGAAGATTCGGGGCAAAAAGTGGCGAAAACGGTATCTCAGTTTTTAAGAGAACGGTGCGTTCGATTCTGATAATTCAAAAAACAGTTTACTTGTATTGAGAAAATGAGGATCTATTTAAATTTTTGGAAAAGCAGGTCTAGCGGTTTCAGAGATCGAGTAAAATACGTAAAAAATATACCATTTGGCGGTGACATATGCATATCAAATAATCAGATATTTTATAGAGATTTTAATAATAAATATAAATTTTGTTTACATTTCTATGGGTTCCGTAACGTTAGTACTATTGCGTGTCCGTTAGACTGTGCGGCGCTTGCGCGCTTTGATAATTCGTATTTATGCAGCTAAAGAAGCGCAATTGCTTTGAAAAAAAGTTCGAAATTTCTAAAATGTGATTTAATTGTTTTTTCTTTAAAGTCAATTTTTTAAAAAATTTTAAAATTATGATAAATAGAATTTTTTCAAAGTTTTAAAAAAATTTAATCTATTTTATGAAAAAAATAATTTTCGATGCGGAAAGTTTCAGCAATTTGCCTTAAGGCATGATGCCATACACCACTAGTTTATTGCATGATCGGTGCAGGTACAGTTTCTGATGATATGTAAAAGATGGTACAAAAAATTTGAAACGGGTGATTTCAAGTTTTCTGTTCTGGGCGAGCATCATTGATAGACGACGATGTTTTCAAGGTAATGTTGGAGCAACAGATACATTTTTGATATCGGCTTAATCAGCTCAACAAACCATTTCTGGTCATACTTGAATGATAGGATTAGTGTGGAAGTATTCAAAATCCGTGCAACGTGAAACAATCAGAAACATTTGGATGATCGATCAGTTATATTCACATGTTTGCTTGCTCGGGACAAAATCGTGTTTTTCTAAACCCGATAATAACTGAGGATGAAATGTGGATTACGTACAAACTCTATGTAATTATCATTTATTTTTGTCCTGAAACATTTTTTTGACTTGGTGAAAATTCGAAAACGAAAAAAATGTTAAACAAGCACTGGTTCAATTTTTCGCATCTAAAGGTAAAACATATTTTAAAAACAAAAAAATTGTCCTCGCGCCATCGAGAGATCATTAATCATGTTATTCAATAATGTTAATTGGGGAAAGAAAAAAATGTATTGTATTGTATGTTTTATTTCACGAATGGGCATAAGTTTCCGGTAGTCCAAATATAATAATCTTATAAATAAAATTCAAGGATATAGAACCCAGAATATTGTAAATTTGGTTTAGTTCTAGAATTCCATTGCCACTCTCATAAAATCATCAGAAATAGAATCGTTTTTTAACTCATGGCATAAATATCATGCATTAAACATACTGGTAAGTCCTATTTTTTTCTGAGCTATCACAAAATGATCAGAAGGTAAATATAAAGACAACAAATTGTTTTTGGTTTAGCGATTTCAATAAATAATGTCAATTGCGATGTCTACCAAGTTGTAAATTTTACAAGTACAAGGCGTTAGCAAATTTCATTACAAATAATGCGAGATTTTTTTTTATAAGTCATTGCTCTAACACTTTTTCATACAGTTAAAATAAACTGGATTTTTTTACATAATAACAACTATGAAGATTAATAGAACCGATACTAAAATAATAGAACAGAGGTCAATGTATTCTTGTGGGCATCTAAATAATATATTTAGAAATATTTTGTTAGTCTAATTTTTAATTAATTTATTTATTTCCTTTACCTTTGTTGCAAGATCTAAATGTGGAAGTACATATGTTGATACCATCAATGCAAATATATGCACTGAAACTAATATCGTTGTTGTCACGGCGAAGCACACGAGCAACCACTGCGGCGCTCTAGAATGGTCGTTTACCTTTTTAGAATAAATTTAAATTAAAAACAATCATATTCAACATAACTTTTGTAGAAACAGAAATAATTTAATTTTATCATTATGATTATGATATTTTTTTTTTACAATAAAATATAATGTTTTAAACATTAGTCCCATTAATTGCTACGATAAGGTAGAGGATTGAAGAATTTAAAAGTACATATATTCTCTGCAATGAAATAAATATTTATCCCGATTTCATAACTACAGTTATAATAAAGCTATATATAGCTTTTGCAGAAATTCAAATGTCCAACATGCTTGAAATATTTTTCGCTGTCAGCTTTCTCATTATCCTTCTGGGTTTTCCATAAATTGTGATATCATTTTTTATATACACAGGTGTACCGGAAAATCATCACAGGTTTTTCTAAACGCTGTATTTAGGATTAAGTATTGCAAGTCTAACTTTTGACACATGTGTATTTTATTCTACTGATATTAAGCTTCAGAGCAATAGATTGTTATATTTTGCAGAAGTAATATCGTTATAGATTTATAGCTCTTTGTATACGTCAAGACTCACAACGTGCACTCGCGGCACATAACTTTTCTTATTTAATCAAAAGAAAAAAGTCTCTGAAAATCATCGTTTGCTAGTAAAAACTTACGGCAAACATGCTATATCCTTAAAAACATCTCAAATTTAGTTTAAAAAATGTAGAAGTGGTGATTTCAATGTGCAAGATAAAAAAACTTAGCGCTAGACCAAAAAAGTTTGAATTCATGAAGGATTTAGTGGAAGAAGGCCCAATTAAAAATGTATGGCAAAAACGTTAAAGTTGACTCAAGAAACGATTAGCTACCATAAAAGTCTAAAAATTGGGAATAAGGGTGCCATATCAATGGAATGGCAAGCAAAGGAAAAATCGAAAAATTGTCTCTGTAATGCTGTGACAGGAAGTCATTGCTGCACCTAATAGTGACAAGCGGTGAACATCGTAAGATTTACTTTGAACATCGTAAGCAAAAAAATCATATTTATCACCTGGTGAAGCCCGCTCATCCACTCCAGAACCAAATCGTTTTGGTCGCGAGACACTGCTCTGTGTTTGATGAGACCAGAGTGGCCTGGTGTATTACGAACCTTTGAAACCTGGTAAAACAGTTGATAGTGATCGCTACCAACAACAAATGATCAATTTTAAAAACATTGATCGAAAAACGTCCACAATGGGCCCAAAAACACGGTAAAGTAGCAATAGAGGTAGATGGGTAAAATTAGCATCGAAAGCACTTGGATGGCACATATTATTGTACCCACCTTGCTTTATAAACTTTTCATTTCAATAGGACACGCGCTTGCAGAGCAGCGATTCTCTAATTTCGAAGAAGTTAGAAAATGGCTCGATTAATGGTTTTGCTCAGAGAAAAAATAATTTTCTTTGGATGTTATCCATAAATTGCCAGAAAGACGGTTAAGAAGTATAGATTCATGTGGTCAATACTTTTAAGTAACTAATTTTCATTGTTCTTGAAAATACGTAATTTATTTCTTCGAAAAAAATAGGCAATGACTTTTCGGTACTAGTATATACAGCGTTGTGATTTGAGTTGTGATTGCTTACTTACATTTATAATTTACTATATTCTATGAGAGGGCAACGCAGTGGTTAACCACTCTTCTTTGTATAACTAAGTACAATATATTGAATATGAACAAAATGACATTGTTGCCTTATTTACAAATTGGCTAATTTTAAAAATGTTTCAGCGACTGTAAAACATGAAGAAAGCCATAGTTATAATCTTGTCAGATGTTAAGAGTCACAGGCTTATTGCAGCAATCAGTTTAAATGTGTTTCTAAAAGTTTAATTTGGGGGTGTTTTTCTCATGTTTTTTTGGGAATCATTCATAGTTATTTGTAATTATCTCTCAATCAACTGCCAGTATTAGTGATTTCGATTAATTTCATTCCAATAATCAGTTAATTAGTGGAATTTTGATTAATCATGTACTATTTCGCAAGCAGTCAAAGTATAGTAAATTAACTGCCAGTATTAGTGATTTCGATAAATTTCATTGCAATAATCAGTTATTTGGTGGAATTTTGATTAATCAAGTATTATTTCGCAAGCAGTCAAAGGTGATTAGCTGTTAACTTCTATTCCCATTTGCTTGCAACATTTTGGGTTTATGCTTCATGACCCAAAGAGGACGAAACGATTTGTTGGTGAACTGCTTACTTAAAAATTGGCATCTGAGTAAGTTCTTACCCTACCCAATATGTCATTTTGCCCGTACTATATGGACCAAATGATTTTTGTAATAGGTTACATCGTTCCTTAATAAGTATGTTATTATAGTTCTTGGATAATTAAAATACTATCTTACTGATAGTCAATGAATCACAGATGAGTACAAACGCTTGAGACTAGTTATAATGTCATTAAATAAATAAATATTATTAAAATGTCTGGCAGGACTTATAGTATGTTTAGTTTTAGCTTGTGCAACAAACAGGTTCATTAAAAAGCGGTTTATAAATGTAATTACATAAAGATATTTTTGTCTCCAGAATATTGGCAAAATGTTCCAATGATCATATTTTGTAATTAAACTTTTCAAGCTTTGCAATACCTGTAGCTCGACCATTGCGATCATAGCGAATCCAGAGAGCAGTTCTGACGTAGTGGATGTTGCTTTGAGTTTGGCGCGGCACATGTGCAATTGTCGCCATGTAGGAGAGTCCGGGGACATTTCTTGCTGGCCGCGATCTTTGCACGAAAAATTCAAGCTGTTTCCAGGATTTATGGAATATATGCTTGGCGGAGGCTGGTATGACGGAGGTGGACTTCCGTGCAGATGTAACGCGGAGCTACTCACTGGAAATATAATGGAATGCACATTTTGATGTAATGATCTTCATAGCATTTCCTTGATAGTTCTGTTACATGATGCAGGTATGCATAAGTGATATACATATCACATATTAATTATAACATATCACAAAACATTAATCTAACTCTTTTATGTAGGTACTATGATTTATTTTATGAGGTGTTATTCATCATCTATTCACCATACCGTAGATAAATTGTGGGTTGTGATATCCATCAAGGCAAATCATTCTGTTCGTCATATCAAAGTGAGTATATTCTATAAATTATTACATTACTTTTATTGAAATTAATATAACTAATATTGTCTGTAATATGTTTCAAATTCGAGAAATTATGGACCATACGTTATTTAATAGTGTTTGGCCATCGATGGCCAGTATTTAATGTAGGTTTTGGTTTTAAACGTGACTTGTATGATATTAGAATACTGAAACTGTATTAAATATGACACTTTGACATCAATTATAAACGTATGAAAATCGTAAAATTACATAAAATTTGCGGCAAACCGAAACTTCCCGCACTAATCCGAGGAGTAGTTTTTTATATCAATTGGAAATATATTATCGCACATTCTAGAAGAAACATCTAAAAAATACTATAAAAATGTGTAAAACTTAGCATTCAAAAACCTTTTTGTGCGATTACCTTTATCAAAAATTTAAACTATTTAACATATTTAACAAATCTAAATTATTTATTAACTTGGCTGATTTCTTACCTTTATATTTGTATCCATATTGCAAAGTGGTAAATAATTGGCTAATTATTAAATTAATTAATTAACTTTTTGGTATCTCCTATGGTTACGGCAAAAGTTAAATTTGAAAATAGTTCACTTTTGCACATTTTCAGTGATATTTCGGCCCAATGATTAGGTAGAAAATTGAAATGTCGTAAATCGGATAATTTCGAAAAGACTCTCAAAGTGACAAATAAGTAGTTTTAAAACCCAAATAGGAATATTATCGATTTTGTATGGCATTTTCATGGCAAATATTTTTAAATTATCTTTTTTTAATTTAAATTCTGAAAGTAATGTTAAAAATGCCCGTCTGATGTTTTATGAGACTAACTAGCGTTGATAATAATTGATATCAACTGAAAACTTGCACACACATATCCTTTTGGTTAATTTTGTTTAAAATGATTCAATTTGAAATGTAGCATAAAATTAGTGGAAAAATTTAATATTAGATGGAGTAAAAAGAAATCTATTATTTTTGCAATAGCTGGCTTTAATTATCTGTATCTCGTGTTGTACGAGTCCAATTGAGTTTTAGTAAGTGGCGTTGAAAGATTAGATTTAGTACTAAAAAAACATTTTAGGCAGTTTTGTAATTGATTGACACATTTTTTGTTCGATAAAGGTAAAAACGCAAGCCAGACGGCTGAAAATATAAATAGTGTTTATGGTTCTGATGCTGAAACGGCCAATTACTCGCAATTTTGGTTTCGATTCTTTGGATTAATTTCGATGTTAAAGACGTACGCGCACTTGATGGCCAATTGTCGAAAATGACGACAAAATCATGGATTTCAACTGTCATCTAACTCGAATTCGATTGCCCAAGAGTTAAAGACTGTACAAAAATCAGTTTGGCATCATTTGAATAGGCCTGGACAGAAAAAAAGTTTGATAAATGGGTGCCACACAAAAACCTACTGAACCAAATTTTCATTTGCAAATTATACCTGAATAGCAAGAAAAACGTCTCATTTTTGAAATGGTTAATGACAGGTGATGAGAAGTGGACAACGTAGAGCAAAAACGGTCGTAATCGAATCGCGGTGAGTAGGCAGAAATGGTAGTCAATCCAGAATTGGGATTTCGTTTGTTCAGCAGGAAATTATATACTGTGACCTGATCTCATATCGCCGGAAATTATATACTGTGACCTGATCTCAGGAAATCATATACTGTGACCTGATCTCATATTAAAACTCTTAACTCGGAACTGTACCGTCAACAATTGAACCGTCTAAAAAAAGCAATTGCCCAGAAGTGGCTAATTTTGGCTAATAGGGGAGGAATTATGTTCCATCAGGACAACGCCCGGCAACACACATCGACTCCTCAGTGACACAGTGACTCCCCAGAAGCCCGGGAGCTTGATTTGGAGGTTTTTATGCATCTATCTTATATTTCAAACTTGGCAGTATACGATTACCATTTGTTTCTGTTGGTGACAAACTGAAGATTGACTAACTATAGTAAATGAGGCCTTAATTTCATTAAAGATATAAAATATGTGTATTTTTATACGTTTTTCCACCTACGGAAAATTATTGAAAGGTATTTTTTTTATTAGCTGGGTAAAATATTTTTGATGGATTTAGCAAATTATATTATTTATTTTCGTGAATTTTTAATATAATTTTCCATTATTTCTATTATATTAAAGGAATTGGGCAATCTATTCGGTTATGTCGTAATATACAACCAAAATAATGAAAAATACCTGTTTTAGGAAAGATTATCACTACGTAATCATACGTTTACCTAAAAATTCAGTCGAGAAAAATATTGTAATCACAATGGATAGATCTTACAGGTAATATTCAAGTTACATCATCTTAGTCCGATTCTAAGTTTCGGACAGCAATATGGCCAAGCAGGACTATATAATTCTGTTTTTATCCTAATACGAAACATAAGGAAGGCATATATGACTAGACTACAATATGAAAAGATTTTTGAATTGAAAATATTAGATCTTGATGAATTTTACCATTTGTTCTAATATGCTGGTACGATCTATCCCAGCTGCTGCTGACGGAAGAAGCCCAGCTGTCGCTGCAACTGATGTCCGCTCTAGGCATGTGGGTCAAGGAACGAGGACGAATGGCGCGTGAGGATCGTATTGGTCCACCATCTTGCATCAAAGAGAACTTGATCATCAGAAAATGATAAGCATAAAACAAATTAAAAATATGTTAGTATTATGATACCATTTATTACGAGATGATAGTTTTTAAATTGCTATAAAATTATTATGTTTTTAATGTTTTCAATGCAATTTGTGGTTTACTGGGGTGAAGTTCAATAGCATCGTCGACATACTTTAATTGCACAGGTCCACAAAATAAGAAAAGATGTCTTTATTGGGTGTGGGGCATATGTTTTCCTATGTAGTTTTTACTGCTGAACATGAATGTAGAATTAAAATTGGGGGTCAAATGACAAAAAATTGAATTTTTTTTTTTAAAAATATCAAAATATCCGATCTAGTATTTTTCTGCATAACAATCACAATCTTGTAATTTTTGTTGTTTCCTGGCTCCTTTTACCTTAAATGACTACTGAGTTTCAATTAACTGATATATTATTTCCTGCCCATTGCGCCCAGGTAATCGGAAAACATGTTTGCCAATTGAATATCTGAAAATGTTTTGGCAAAATATTGCTATATTATACAAAAAACTTAATAGATTAGTAAATATTCAATAGATTACTAGAATAGAATACTCAATTTAAGGTGAAAAGGGCTAGGAAACTATAATAATTATAAGATTTTAAGTATCATGCAGAAGAATTACTATGTCGAAGATTTTGTCGTTTTTTTAATTTTTTTTTCAATTTTTTACTGCTTCACCCCCAATTTTGACTTTAGATTCGTGTTCGGCGGTAAAAACTACATTGGAAAACATATGCCGCACACCCAATACAGTTTTTTATTTTGTGGACTTATGTTATTGACATTAAAATTTTTGGTGCTTCGGTTAAATGCACCGGGTTTGAAATACTTCGAAAATCATCGATTAAGGTTAATAAAATATGATGCCAATTGCATTATATTAAGAAAAGGCCCGGTATTTTTATTGACAACGTTTGTGATTCATGTTAGTTTTCATTAAAAATCTGTACTTAAAATAAATGAAACAAAATTTAAATCACATTAATATAAACATCCTGTCTATTTGTATCGAAAATATTTCGTACCAGACTTGTATATAGTTTATGAAACTATTTATTTCAAATGGGATAAATGAATGATATTGTATTTTTGAAGATCGCTTTATCTAAAAATATGCGTTAATACGAATATCTGTGAGAAAACAAATATATTAGTTTGATATAGAAATTTTTAAAGCATACCGTTACGTTTGCAAAACGTAACAGAATCATTAGCATTACGTAGCTTTGCCGGACGTGGCGGCTACGTAACGCGGTGTCAAGTTACGGGGCGTCCATTAATCACGTGAGGTTTTTAGGGGGAGGGGGGAGGTTTGACAAAAAATCACAAAATATCACGTGGTGAAGGGCGGGGTATAGTAAGATATCACGTGTATTCATTTTTTAACTGTTTTTTTTTTAAATCGAATATTTTCAAAAAAAAAATTACTTTATTCAAAAATTTTACAATTTTTTCACATAACTAAAAATACACGTGATGTTTGGTGGGGGAGGGAGGGTAATGTCGAATATCACCATGTATCACCAAGGGGAAGGCGGGGTCCAAAAATCTTTAAAAACTCGCTCACGTGATTAACGGACGCCCCCTCACATGTATAAATTAATGCTTCGTTGATATTACTTAAAATTTCTGAATTATTATCTAAATATTTCCGTCTTGGTTTTCCAAAATGTTATTAAGTTATGAAAAATTAAAATATTATTATTAAGAAAATAATCTTATGTGTTAACAATAAAGAAGTTTTCATTGGAAGATCTACTTATACAGCAATAAATGAGCTCACCTCTGATCTAGCAATAAGTTGGCGTCTTCTCCTCCGAAGATTTGCCCGGTCATAACAATTGGTATCACATTTTAGCGAGCGCTGAGGCATGAAGTTCACTTGCGTGCTTTGATCCTTTGTTTCCGCCATCTAAAAGTAATCAATACACTAAACACACAGATAAATATATCAATATGTAGTATAGAGAAAACGCGGGCAAAATTGCATATCTTCATGAAACATTTTGGCATATCTCAGAAAAATGGATGTGTGTGTGTGTTTTGAATGTTCGCATTTTTTCGTTCGTATCGTTTCGAGCGCACGGTTCAACCGATTTGAATGGTTCAAAAAACATTCGATTTCTATTGATAGGGAGATGTCCTGATTAGTTTTTGGCAAAGGCAGGTCCAGCCGTTACGGAGATACGGAGCAAAGAATGCAGAAAATACATATCGAGTTTTTAAGAAAACGGAGTATCCAATTTGAATGATCTGAAAAACATTTTATTTGTAATGATTGGGTGAAGAGATCATTAGTTTTTGGAAAAAGCAGGTCTAGTAATTTTGAAGATACATAGCTAAATGTGCAAAAAATAGCCAGTTTTTTTTCAATTTTTTTTTTTTGGCATATCGAAAATAATTCAGATTTTAATTTTAATTCTGGCTGAAGTTCTAATATACTTTAAACAAATAATTTCAACTTTGCAATTCAGTTTATATAATTCTTACAAGTATTAGACAAAGTTAGAATATTTATAATAATCTATATGAAAACATTTAGTATTCCTGGAATATTTCATTACAAAACGGAAAGTTCCAGCAATTTGCCAAGGTACGATGCCGTATACCACTAGATTTCCCGTATCTTTGAAACTGCCGGACCTGCATGCCTTTGCCAAAACTAATCAGCACCTCACCCCGTCAATACGGCTCGAATGTTTTAAACTTCCCGTAGGGGTAAGTTATAGTTATCGCAAAAAAATCGAAAATGAAATTTTTTATATATTTTCACGTTTCAGAGGTTTCTGAACATTTTGGCATACCTGAGAAAAAATGGATGGATGTGTGTGTGCGTGTGTTTGTGCGGATACAAATTTTCGTCGACGATTTCGGGAACACGGTTCAACCGATTTTAATTATTCAACTAGCTATAAGTGGAATTCTGTCTTAAGGCAATTAAGGCATCGTGCCTTAAGGCAAATTGCTGAAACTTTCCGTACCAAGAATTATTATTTTTTTAAAAACTATTAACATTTTTGAAAAAAATTTACTTCGAAAAAATTAGATTTTTGAGAAACTATAAATTTGACAAAAAATTACTTTTTTGAAAAAAAATTTTTTTTTTGAAAATAAAATTTTTTAGAAAAGAAAGATGTTTTCTTCATTTTGACATATTTTGGAAATTCTGAACTTTTTTTTAAAGCAATCGTACTGCTTTAACTGCATAGAGACGAAATGTCACATGTCTAACGGATAAACATTGGTACGGAATCCATAGGGATGTAAACAAAATGTATACTTATTGTTAAAATCTCTATAAAATATCTGATAATTTGATGTGCATATGTCTAATGATCATTTTTGACCGCCAAATAATTCAAAAAACATTTTACTTGTATTGACAAGATGAACAACTGATTAAATTTTCATGAACGCAGGTCTAGCGGTTTCGGAGATCTAGTGAAAAAAGTATAAAAAAATGCCAATTGACGGACAAAAATGATCATTAGACATATACACATGAAATTATCAGATATTTTATAGAGATTTTAACAATAAGTATAAATTTTGTTTACATTCTTATGGGTCCCGTACCAATGTTTATCCGTTAGACGGCGACGCGGCGCTTAGGCGCTTTGATATTTTGTCTCTATGCAGTAAAACAGTACGATTGCTTCGAAAAAAAGTTCAGAACTTTCAAATATTTTAAAATAAAGAATTTTTTTTTCAAAAAGTCATTTTTCCAAAAAAATATTTTTTTTCTCAAAAGTTTATAGTTTCTCAAGATTCTATTTTTTTGAAAAATGTTAATCGTTTAAAAAAAAAAAATTTTTGTTACGGAAAGTTCCAGCAATTTGCTTTAAGGCACGATACCATACGCCCCACTAGGTAAATTATTAAATCGTAGACGAAAAATTGTATCCAAACATGCATATATACATACACACACACATACACCCATTTGTTCAAGGTATGCCAAAATGTTCGATTTTTTGCGATTACTATAACTTATCCTACGGCAAGTTAATAATTAAATATTATTAAAAACAGAACACTATGTCATTTTGTCCGTGCTTTCCCTAGTATTTATGCAAATCGACGGAAGTAGAATTTGCGTTATTATATATTAAACAAATAGCGTATTATGCATTCATAGATATGGTAAAAAAACGGACACGAAATTTAAAAAATGATTCAATATTTTATTTAACTTTATGATAATTTTGTATCATATTCAAAGTCCATAAATATTAAAACGTCAATCAACAATAATTAAGTTCGACAATTAATTGATAATGGTGCAAGTTAGTTATGTACATATGTTAGTTATGTGTAAAGATAAAAATAAAGCTTATACATACATAGAATATATAGGTATACAATATACATACATAATTTTCACTTTTTTTTAAATAATTTAGTTATAACTTTTTGGGGAGTTATAGTGCTTATTTATGTCCAGAATTTGAAATGTTTTGAAAGTTTTTGGAGGAAAAGCTTCACTGCCGCTAATTATATATGGATTTACAAACATTAAATTAAATTTTGTTAAAATACCTCAACGCGAAGACATGATATTCATTAACTTCTTTCGTTTTTTATGAAAACTTCAATGAACGACTTCACTAATTATTATTTATGTTTTCAGTTTTGTGTCAAATTATTTAATAATTTAATTAATTAAGTTTCAAATATAAACATCACTGTTTTTCCTATTTTTTTGGACAGATTATAAAGAAGTACATTTTATTTCAAAATTTTCAAAACAACAATATTAATTATTTATAAGGTTTTCACTTACCAATATGCTAACTTTCTATCAATTTTTTTTTATTGTGTGTTGACAGAAGTGATTAATTCTGTATTTAACTCCAATTTATAAGATATAAATATTTAAAACTCTCCGAAAAACACATTTTTAAC